GGGAAAAGCGGGCCTCGGGGAAAGGGTGGGGACTTCTGGGGGGCGATACTGTTTCAAAGATGTGACATCTGGGACAGGGGCTTGGCGACGTCGCCCCTCGTGCTTCGAAGTTCTTGCCCTACTGGGGCTTCGGGGGGCGCCATCTCGTGGCCACAGCTGGACTCAGCTCGCAACGTTGGCCATGACGGACTCTGGGAGGGGCCCCGCCCAGGGGATAGACTTTGGGCGCATCTTCACCAAACGTTCTTGGCGCTAAGAATAACGAGATGGTCAGTTGTTCATCGTACCAGGATCTGGGATCAGCAAAAACTTATCCGGGGGGAAAACCAGTCCCAGGGAAGGGGTCGAGAGGGGCCAAGACAGAAAGTCTGTCAGGGGCCTGGGTCGCACAGGGATTCGCACAGACAGCCCCCAGAGTTGGCCCTCGCGAGCCTCCCCACAGAGCCCCCTCGGTCCGTCCGGGGTGGCCTCCACACCCCAGTACTGCTTCCGACGGCCCCCCCGTGGGCGCTGGGGTGTTGAGACCGCCTTCCAAGACCCCCGACGTCATGAATTGTTCATGACGTCGACCCCCAGAGGTCTCGACATATTCCCCAGGAGCGGTTTCTCATCCTGAGTCGTTTTCCCAACCATCCTGTGGTGTTGGGTCCTCGTTTGGGAGAGACAGCGCCCCACGTCTCGCCTCCTCCCGCTGCCCCCTCCCTCCTCCCCCTCCTCCCTCCTCCCATTACTGCTTCTGCTCGCCGCATGTCCACCATGTCGGCACACCCCTCACGAGGATCGTGGCCCCATAGGGAGCTCCACCGAAGGCCCCAGAGGCAGGGTTTGCATGCGTCCCCCCATTTCGGCACACCCCTCACGAGGATCGTGGCCCCGAAGCTCCACCGATGGCCCCAGCGGCAGGGTTTGCATGTGTCCCCCCGCCCATTTTGGCACACTCCTCACGAGGATCGTGGCCCCAAAGAAACTGCACCGAAGGCCCCAGCGGCAGGGTTTGCATGCGTCCCACAGCCGATTTCGTCACACCCCTCACGAGGATCGTGGCCCCGAAGGGAGCTCCACCGAAGGCCCCAGCGGCAGGGTTTGCATGCGTCCCCCCGCCCATTTCGGCACACCCCTAAACGAGGATCGTGGCCCCGCAGGGAGCTCCACCGAAGGCCCTTGCGGCAGGGTTTGCATGCGTCCCCCCGCCCATTTCGGCACACCCCTCATGAGGATCGTGGCCCCATAGGGGGCTCCACCGAAGGCCCCAGCGGCAGGGTTTGCATGCGTCCCCCCGCTGATTTCTGCACATCCCTCACGAGGATCGCGGCCCCAAAGAAAGCTCCACCGAAGGCCCCAGCGGCAGGGTTTGCATGCGTCCCACAGCCGATTTCGTCACACCCCTCACGAGGATCGTGGCCCCGTAGGGAGCTCCACCAAAGTCCCCAGCGGCAGGGTTTGCATGCGTCCCCCTGCCCATGTCGGCACACCCCTCACGAGGATCGTGGCCCCATAGGGAGCTCCACCAAATGCCCCTGCGGCAGGGTTTAGGGTTTGCATGCGTCCCCCAGCCGGTTTCGGCACGCTCCTCGCCCCGCAGGGAGCTCCACCGAAGGCCCCAGCGGCAGGGTTTGCATGCGTCCCCGCCCCCTTCGGCACACCCCTCACGAGGATCGTGGCCCCATAGGGAGCCCCACCGAAGGCCCCAGCGGCAGGGTTTGCATGCGTCCCCCCGCTGATTTCTGCACATCCCTCACGAGGATCGCGGCCCCATAGGGAGCTCCACCAAAGTCCCCAGCGGCAGGGTTTGCACGCGTCCCCCCGCCCATTTCGGCACACCCCTAAACGAGGATCGTGGCCCCGCAGGGAGCTCCACCGAAGGCCCCTGCGGCAGGGTTTGCATGCGTCCCCCCGCCCATTTCGGCACACCCCTCATGAGGATCGTGGCCCCATTGGGGGTTCCACCGAGAGCCGTACCCACAACGCGGTATTCACAGCTGCATGTGGTCGGGTCCTTCGCCAGGATAATTTGCCGGCCCCCAGGCCCAGCAAGGGCCCCCCTGGGCCGAAAATTCAGAAAAAAACGTATGTCATGTTTGTTTCATTGCCCGAGGTGGCCTGGGTTGGTTGCACCCTAAGAATTTGCCAGGTTGTGCCGGACGGTCGGCATCTGTTGCAGAATTTGGGGAGTTGTTCCGAAGAGTGGCCTTCGCGCCCCCGGCCTTGGTGTTGCTGGGCGCCCCGTGCAAGCGCGGCAAGAAAGAATGGCATGCTGCTCTCTTCATTCTGCTCCACCTCTTCCTCCTCCTCCTTCCCATTATCATCCTCTGCTTCCTCGTCCTCCTACTCCACTCCTATGCCTCATCATCATCATCATCATCATCATCATCATCATCATCATCATCATCATCATCATCATCATCGTCATCGTCATCGTCATCGTCATCGTCATCTTCATCGTCATCATCATCATCATCATCATCAGCATCATCAGCATCATCATCAGCATCATCATCAGCATCATAGCATCAGCATCATCATCATCATCATCATCGTCATCATCATCACCATCATCAGCATCAGCATCAGCATCATCATCAGCAGCATCATCAACATCATCAACAGCAGCATCACCATCATTAACATCAACAGCATCAATCACCTCATCAGCATCAGCATCAACATCAGTAGCAGCATCATCATCAGCATCATTAACATCATCATTCTTACCATCAGTATCAGCATCAGCATCATCAGCATCATTATCATCATCGGCATCATCGTCATCATCTTCAGCATCATCAGCAGCATCATCATCAGCAGCATCAGAATCAGCATCATCGTCGTCATCACCATCACCAGCAAAAGCATTATAATTATCGTCGTCATCATCATCGTCACCATGTTCATCTTCAGCATCATCACCTTCATCATCATCAGCAGCATCATGATCATCGTCATCACCGTCATCACCACCACTATCATCATCATCATCATCATCATCATCAGAAACATCCTCAGCATCAGCATCATCATCGTCACCATCGGCATCATCATCATCATCTTCATCAGAGTCATCATCGTCATCGTCATCAGCATGATCAGCATCATCAGCAGCATCATCATCAGCAGCGTCATGACCAGCATCACCCATCATCATCATCAGCATCGGCAGCAGCAGCAGCATCAGAATCAACGTCATGCCCACCATCAGCATCATGTCAGCATCACCGTCATCATCAGCATCAGCATCAGCGTCGTCATCAGCATCAGATTCATCTTCATCTTCATCATCAGCATCATCATCAGTATCATCATCGTCATCATCATCATCATCATGATAGTAACCATCATTATCAGCATCATGAAATTGGGTTTGCGGCGGTCATCCAGGTGGCCGTCACCTAACCCCGGAGCCAACAAGAAACGGTTCGGGCTGAAAATTGGCCCCAGGAAGGGGTCTAGGTTCTGAGGGCCCACGTCGTACAAAGAAACACGACGTCGGGAGTCTCATCCGACGACGATGTGATTTGTTCAATCCGCTGCCCCAGAGGTTTCGACAATATCCCTGCGAGCAGCGTCTCGTCCCGATCAACTTGTGAGGTCCCAGAGCCCAGAAACGGGCCCTGGGGGCCGCAATAAAAAAAGAAAAGCGGCAACTGAAAAACAAAAACGTGACAATGAGTTCCCCATGAACTTGCGCACCTCTTCTTCTCGAGTCCTTTGTGCATGACGCTCTGAGAATGAGCGAGGCTGCGCGACTGAGTACGAGTGGGTATGACTGTAAGCGAGCCTGGGTAGGAGTGGACCATGAGGTCCATGCAACACCCCTTGGATTGTCCAAGCACTCTGCGTGCTAAATCATTGTGATCATGGGGCTCTGAAAAGATCTTCGTCCACTGAGAAAAACCAGGGACTCGAGACATCCCCACAGTCTGAATGCGAACGGGCCCGTGAAATGAAACCATTGCGGCTCCCCTCGGGGCGCACAAGTGTGATGCATGCCTGCTGCATCGCGATGGACGTGGGGCTCTGAAAGGAGACCCGTCCACTGGGCCAAACGAGCGCCTCGCTCGAGACATCCCCGCAAGCTGAGCGCGAACGCGCCTGTGATATACCCCCTTGCGGCTCCCCATGTGGGGCGCCCAAGTGTTGTGCCTGCTACATCGCGGTGCCCAGATGGCTCTGAAAAGATGCTCGTCCACTGGGCCAGACGAGGCACTCGCTCCAGACATCCCCAAAACCTGAGCGCGAACGGGTCAATGATACAACCCCCTCCTTCTCCCCCTCGGGGTGCCCAAGTGTTTTGCCTGCTACATCGCGGTGTCCATGTGGTTCCGAAAAGATACTCACCCACTGGGCCAAGCGAAGGACTCGCTCGAGGCATCCCCACAATCTGAGCACGAACGGGCCCGTGGTATACCCCCTGGCGGCTCCACCTTGGATTGCCCACGTGCTATGCCTGCTACATCGCGGTGATCATGAGCGAGCCTGAGTATTAGAAGCGAGAACGAGTGAATCTGAGTATGACTGACGCAGTGAGCGTGAGCACGAGTATGAGCGTGACTGATCAGAGGGTGAATGGGCTGTGCGTACGGATCTGAATATGATTCAGTTGAGCACGAGGGGGTTCATGTGTGAGTGTTTGAGCACGAGTGATTCCAAGTATGAGTGAGCTTAGTATGAGTGTGAACGAGTCTGTACATGAGTGGGTCTGCGTCTGAGTGGGCCTGAGTCTGAGTGAGCGAGGATGGAGGCACAAATTGGGAACACGCGCCTCGCTCGAGGCATCCACTATCTGGGCGCGAACGGGCGAGTCTCATACCCCCTGGCGCCTCCCGCTTGGGTTACCCAAACGCTGTGCCTGCTACGTCGCGGTGGTTGCGTGGCCCACAGAGGACACGAGTCGGAGGTGCAACGCAAGCGCCTCGCTCGAGACATCCCCACAATCCGGGCGAGAACTCGCGAGTGTCGTGCCCCCCATGGCGCCTCCCTCTTGGGTCCAGCGCGCGCGCGAGGCCCTGGCCACGGCGGCTGCAGGGCCTCCTGCGGCTCGCGGCCGCGGGCGCCGCGCTCGCGCTGCTGCGCCGCGGCGCCGCCTTCGTCGGGGCGCCCCGAACCTGCCGGGGCGGCGCCGCGGGCGCGGCCTTGCCCCAGCTGGAGGCCGCCGGGGGCATTGACCAAAACAGAACATCCTGGCGAAAGACCTAGCCATATGCATTTGTGAGTGCCGCGTTGAGGGGAACCGACCGCGTTCGGTGAAGCTCCCTTTGGGGCCACGAAACGCGTCAGTGGTGAGCCGACATGGGTGCGGTGGTGCCATGCTGGAACTGCCGCTAGCGCTTTCGGCCAAGGGCTCCCTATGAGGCCACGAAACGTACGAGGGGTGTGCCGCAACAGCTGAGGTGGTGCCATGCTGGGGCTGCTACTTGGGCCGGTGGAGCTTACTATGGGCCACGAACATGTAAGGGGTGAGCCGGTATGGGCGCGGTGGTGCCATGCGAGCGCAGCCATTGGGGCCCTCGGTGGAGCTCCCTATGGGGCCACGAATCGTGTGAGGGGTGTGCCGAACTGGGTGTCGTGGTGCCATGCGAGCGCAGCCACTGGGGCCTTCGGTAAAGGGCTCCCTATGAGGCCACGAAACGTGTGTGGAGTGTGCCGACATGGGCGCGGTGACGCCATGCGAGCGCAGCCACTGGGGCTTGCGGTGGAGCCCCATATGAGGACACAAAGTGTGTGAGGGGTGTGCCGACATGGGCGCGGTGGTGCCATGCGAGCGCAGCTACTGGGGCCTTCGGTGGAGCTCTCTATGGGGACACGAAGCGTGTGAGGGGTGTGCCGAAACAGAGACACGCGGAGGGCAGAGGCACGGATGGGAGGAGGGAGGAGGAACGAGGAGGAGAGGAGGGAGACGCGGGGCGCTGCCTCTCGCTGTCTCTTCGAAACGAGGACCCAACACCACTGGATGGCTGGGGGAAAGAAGTGAACGCGTCAGTGACCCTTCGCCAGGTTGGCATCTGGTGCACGGCTTTCGCCTTTCGCTGGGCGCGGGGGCAGGGGGCTGGACCCAGGCACGCAGGCCGCGACCGTCGCATCGCACGCAGCGATCGGCACGCCGCGCACCGAACGTCATTCTTGCCTAGGGTCACTCTTGCGTGCAGCAGAGAGAACGGAGTCAAATGAGCGACGCAAAAAAAGGTGTCGTCTGCGCCGACATTGGCGCGTAAAGTGCCCGCGTAAGGTCGCGCGTAAGCGCCTTCTTTTCAAAAGTAGCGTGCCGCGCTGGCGGCCCGCGTAAGCCACCGCGTAGGGTTGCCACGTCATCGCGCGTAAGATCCGTTTTGATCGTCGCCCAAACGCTTCGCCAGGAAACATGGCGAAGCCGGCACACGACAGCAGTGTTTCACGGGCGCCGCCTCGCCCAGGCCAAGGCCACCGCCGCTGCTCTTGGCGTCGGCTTCGCCATGGTAAGGTTTCATGCTGCGCGCAGACAGCATACCCGGGTAGTCCCAGCGGCCTCCACAGGCCCTCCGCGTAGTCCTAGCTGGCCTCGGCTGGCCCCCCGAGCAGTCAGGGGCGGCCTCAGCATCCCCAACCCTGGGGCGCGGAGCGCCCCAGGGGCGCCGCCGGACGCGGCGCCGGGGTGTTGAGTCCGCCCTGGACTACTCGGGGGGCCAGCTGGGGCTACTCGGGAGGCCTGTTGAGGCCAGCCGGGAGGGGTGGGCTGCCTGCGCGCAACCCGAAGCCAGACCACTCTCCCGATCGAGGATTCGAGGACCGAGGTTCGAGTCATCGCTCCTTGCGTTCGGCCTCTGGGTGCCCGCTTCGAGCGCCTGAGCCATCGACTCGAGATGGAAAGCCAGCCCCCGGTAGACCCCGGGAGCCGTCGGCGGACCCGTTTGGAGCGGGCTCTGGACGGCGGGCGCGGGCGTCGGGGGAAGAGGCGGGCAAGGAGCGGCCCGTCCTGGCCACGCCCTCGCGACTTGCCCCAGGCAGCCCAGGCGCCTCTCCGCCTCCCCCCCCCCCCCGCCCTCTCCCTCGGGCAGCCCTCCTCCCGCCCTCCCTCTCTGCCCTCCCCCTCCCCCGCCCCTCGGGAGGGGGGGAGCCCCGGGCCGGACGCAGGGGTTAGGGGCACGAGATCTGTCGCGCGCGCTCTTGGCTTCGGCCCCGCCGCAGGGCGCTGTCCTCGATGCGCGTGCGCGCCTCTGTCGCCAGCTGGCGCCGGGAGAGGCAGCGGCGTGAGAGCCGACTCGCCAAGCCGCCCAGCCAGCCGGATCGTGGCCCGATCCTGGCACGTCGCAGTCCTCGTCCTTCCGCCAAGACTTCTGGCGCGCGTGATTCTACACGATTTGGGCGTCTCCCCGCCGTGTCGAGCTCCGCGCGGCCATGCTCGGTCCCCGGGGCCAGCAAGTGGGACCGGGGCGAAAAATGTTCCCCGGGGCAGGGGTCTAGATTTCTGTGTACCGCGAATTGGGCATTCTCGCGTTCTTCGTCTTCCGTCGTCTTGGTCGTCGTCGAGGATCATATCAGCCAGCGCAGACTCCAAATAGATCAGAAGACTGACATGAAGTGGACTGACGTAGACTGGACTAGAGTAGACTGGACTGGTGTGGGCTCTACTCTACTCGATTCGACCCTACTTATACCCGGTTCTACTCTACCTTCTACCCTACTCTGCTCTGCTCTATTATATCCTACTCTACCCTGCCTGACCCTGCTCTACCCCAGCTCTATCACAGTATGATAGACGATCCTCGTTTCTATGCTTACTCTACGATACCCGACTCTACTCTACCATCCACGCTACTTCTTACTCGACTCTACCATCTACCCTACTCGACACTATTATATCATATCCCGCTCTGGTCGTCTGCCCGCCGATAGCCGCCCAATTCGAGTGGTCCCATCTCACCAGATAAAGATAGAACGTCGACGATTTTCTTTTCAACATGGACTTTAAGTCGTCCATGTTGAATAGTGCGTGGCAGGAGTGGGACGGGGCGCGCATCCCGCGCAAAAGGCCGACATGTCACTCACGCCTCGGCGCGGCGTTCATGCTTCTGGAGACCTCGTTGCGCTCCCGCTGGAGCGCGCGCGCACACGTTCCGCACGCCGCGTCGTAGACGCGCGAGCGGGCGAGAATGTAGCCCTCGCTGCGGCGCCGCGCAGATCTCGCCCGAAAGTGGGCGTCCCCGCCCCGACGCGGCGCAGGTCTGTCCCTAGTTCGTTTTTGTTGGGAGGCCCTGCGCGGGTGGCCGCCCCGTCGCCCTCGCCCCCAGCTCTGGGCGCCCTTCTCGCTCGGCAGGGGTGCCGCCGCGCAGGCGCGGCGCAGGGCTCGTTCGCCAGATCGCGCGGCAGGCGACGGCGGCAGCGGGGCGCGCGCGAGAGCGGGCGAGATGCGGGCCTCGCCCACGCGCCGCGCGGGCTGCGAGTTGAGGTGGCAGCGCTGTGTCGGCAGCCTGGCGCGTGCCTCATCCTTGCCGCGCCCAGCGGAGGGTGCCGCCGGCCCCGCCCCCTGCGGCGGCCCGCGCAGCTTTTCTCCTTCGCCGCGTCGTCGGGAGCGGGGCCGCGCGCGAGCGCCTTCCGCTTGCGGGGTGGGAGCACGGTCCAATGCCAATGCCGCGTGGTGCCACAACTGATTCTTTGATTGCGGGAGGGAGGGTGGGAGTAGGCAGGGCCCTCTACCGACCGCTCTACGATCTACCCTATTCTGATATGCCTTACTCCCAGCCGTTCTTCCGGAACCTTGGCGATCCTATCCTACTCCAACTCAACTCCACTCCTACCACACTCTCTTATGTTATAATTTACGACCGTCTATCCGAATTTGCTCGACTCTACTCTGCTCCTACTCGACACTCCTCCATACTCTGCTCGATTGTGTTTACTCTATTCTAGTATGCTCCACTCGACTCGATTTTTCTTTCCCATCTACCCTGCTCTACTCTGCTCCCATCTACTCCCATTATTCCCGAGTAGATTCGACCATCGAACCCAAAATAAATCATTATGTTATCTGTTACCCTAACCTATTCTTGTAGTGGCCTCTGGACGGTGCTGCCGATCCGGGCCGATCCCGCTGTCAGAAGAACGCTTTCGCCCCAACGCGCTTGTTCAAACGTAAGTGGTTTGGAAACAGCTTGGAGGCATTGCGTGGGCTTCTTGAGGGGCCTCTACGACGCATCTTCGAGGCCTCCTGGGGGGGCGTCTTGGAGGTGATTGTTGAGTCTCTTGGGGGCCTTCGGGGTTTCTTGGGGGGCATGCAGGAGGCATCCTGGAGGCCTCCTTGGGGTGTGCAGGAGGTAATTTCTAAGCCTTCGGGAGCGCTTATGGGCGCCTTGTGGGGGCCTCTTGAGGGCCACTTGGAGCCTCTCGGGGTTTTCTGGGGACTCCTAGGGCCATTTTGGTGCCTCCTGAACGCCTCTTGGGCCGTCTTGGGCCCCTTCTGGGGCCGTCATGGAGCCCTCTTGGGCGCTTCTTGGGCCCGTCCTGGGGCCCGCTTGGGCTGTTTTGGGGGCCTCCCGGGCCGTCTTGGGCCATTCTTGGGCCGACGTGGGGCCCTCTTGAGAGCCTCTGGGCCTGTTTCGGGGGTCTCTTGCGCAGTGCTGGACACTGCGAAGGTCGAAGAAGCGAAAACGGAAAAAAATACGTTTTCCTATGGGAATGGGACAGTTGTTCCGTCTTTGGGTGCTCTTAGGAGGTGTCGGGAGGGTACGTTGGAGGCGTTTGGAGCCGTCTGAGGAACATATTTGAGTGTCTTGGAGCGAAAAAGGAAAAATAGTCGTCGTCCGAAGGGAATGGGACAGATTTTCCGTCTTTGGGCGCTCTTAGGAGGTGTCGGGTGGGTACGTTGGAGGCTTCTGGAGCCGTCTAAGGAACATATTGGTTGTCTTGGAGCGATGTTTCGGCCACTCAGGGCCCTCTTGGGCCGTCTGGGCGGCCGCTGGGTTTTTTATGAGCCCGCGTTCGAGCTCTCCCGGGCGGGGGGCCGACCCAGAGTGAGCTGGAGCTCCGATTTTGCCACCAAAATTGATTCGGAACCACCCCGCCCCCCTCCCCCCCACCCCGGCAGAGCCACCCCCGCACACACACACACACACACACACAGCAGAGCTGAAGTTCAAGAACTGAGGCTCAGGCTATATCTGAGGGCCTTTGAAACTCACACGCCGGATCGGCGGATTTTTCTCCCCTGTTCTCCTCTACTGTAATCCTTGTTTCTTTTCTCCTCGAACGTGTTCTCATCTACTAGTTTGTATTATGGTCTGGCTTGATATACTCTTCTCTAGTCTGTTCTATTCGGCTCTTCTCTACCTCTGCCCTACTCCACTCCTACTATGCTTCACTCCACCCTACAGTGATCTGACCTACCCTACTCTACCCCTAATGTACGATGCTCCTATTCGATGATACTAGATTCAAGTATGCTCTACTCTAGGCTTGTCTGCACTACTCTACACATCTACGCTTATCTACTCTGCTCTGTTGTTCTCTACTCGACTTCTGAGTTTGACGATTGTTGGACGATTGTTGGAACGCCATTCGAATAGCCACCAGAAGCCACTTGAATAGCAGAAGAAGCCATGCGGATACAGAGGAAGTCATGCGGATCGGAGAGGAAGCCATCCGGAACAGATGAAGCCATGCGCAACAGAGGACGCTAGCACAGGAAGCCATGCGCAACAGAGGAAGCCATTCGCAACAGAGGACGCGTACAGGGGCAAAATAGCGAAAGAGGAAGCCATGCGGATGCAGAAGAAGTCATGCGCAAGAAAGGAAAGCGTGCGCAGCAGAGGACGTTAGCAGAGGAAGCCTTGCGCAACAGAGGAAACCATGCGCAACGGAGGGCGGGCAAAATAGAAAGCTATGCAGGTAGCAAAGGAAGCCATGCGGCTAGCACAGCCGGCCATGTGCAACATAGGACGCGCCCAGGGGCAAAATAGAGGATATCGGTCGACTCGTTGCCTGCGCCATTTTGCCATAGAGCTAAGACTCGAATAGGCAAGACTACCTGAGTGAGCTTATCCTGGCGCAGGGCCCAACCATACGCTCCTATGAATACCGCGTTGTGGGCACTGCCTTCGGTGGAGCTCCCTGTGCTGCGACGAGACGTGTTCGGGTCCGCCGACTGGCCACGCGCAGAGGGGGGTAGGGGGAGGGGGGAAGGCTTCTTAGAAGCACCCCTGCTTCTTAGAAGGCGCGGGCCTTCTCTGTAGATGTAAGGCCGGCGCCTTCTAAGAAGCAGCCTCCTTCTAAGAAGCCTTCCCCCCTCCCCCCACCCCCTTGTGCGCGCCGCCAAGCCGAAATGGCTGCGTTGGTGCCATGCTAGCACAGCCATTGGAGCCCTCGGTGAAGCTCCCTATGTGGCCACGGAACGTGTGAGGGGTATGCCGAAATTGGTGCGGTGGTGCCTTGCGAGCGCAGCCATTTGTGCCTTCGGTGAAGCTCCCCACTGGGCCATGAAACGTGTGAGGGGTGCGCCGAGATAGCCGCGGTGGTGCCAGAGCGCAGCCATTGGGGTTTGGTGCCATGCGAGCGCAGCCACTGGGGCCTTCGGTGGAGCTCCCTATGTGGCCACGGCACGTGTGAGGGGTGTGCGGGAATGTGTGCGGTAGTGCCATGCGGGCGCAGCCAATGGGGCTTTCGGTGGAGCTCCCATGTGGCCACGAAACGTGCGAGGGGTCGGCCGAGATGGTGCCATGCGAGCGCAGCCACTGGGGCCTTCGGTGGAGCTCCCCATGGGGCTGGAAACGTGTGAGGTGTGTGCCGAAATCTCCACGGTGCCACGAAACGCGTGAGGGGTGTGCCGAAGTCTCCGCGGTGGCGCCGTGCGAGCGAAGCTCCCTATGTGGCCACGAAACGTGTGAGGGGTGCGCCGAGATAGGCGCGGAGCGGTGCCATGCGAGCGCAGCCATTGGTGCCCTCGGTGGAGCTCCCTATGTGGCCACGAAACGTGTGAGGGGTGGCGGAATGGGCGCGGTGGTGCCATGCTAGCGCAGCCATTGGGGCCTTCAGCGGAGCTCCCCATGTGGCCACGAAACGTGTGAGGGGTGTGCCTAAATCTCCGCGGTGGCGCCATGCGAGCGCAGCCACTGGGGCCTTCGGTGGAGCTCCTTGTGAGGCCACGAAACGTGTGGGGGTGTGGCGGAATGGGCGCGGTGGTGCCATGCGAGCGCAGCCACTTGGGCCTTCGGTGGAGCTCCCCATGAGGCCACTGCACGTGTGAGGGGTGTGCCGAATTGCGCGGGGTGGTGCCATGCGAGCGCAGCCACTGGAGCCTTCGGTGGAGCTCCCTATGAGACACGCGGAGGGCAAAGGCATGATGATGACGTTGATGTCTCTTCAAAGTGTCAACCGTACACCACAAGATGGTTGGGAATGATGATGGTGATGATGATGATGACGACGACGATGACGATAGCGACGAGGGGGGCAGAGGCAAGGAGGGAGAGGAGGGAGGAGGGGGAGGAGGACGAGAAGGGAAGAGGGACGCGGGGCGCTGTCTCTTCAAAACGAGGACCCAACACCACAGGATGGTTGGGAAACATACTTTGGACTGCCTTTCTGGGCCTCCTGGGACGCCCTCGTGGCCACGGCTAGAGTTGCCTCGACATTCTCACCAGAACGTACCCCAGGAGAGGTTCAGGGTCGTCGGCGTTGTGATCGGTCTCCTCTTCGTCCCCACCCCTCGTCCTCCTCGGCGAAGACGTTCGACGTCGATGTCTTTGTTTCGGGTGTTTCTTGTGGTAGTTCCGGAACTGTTCTTCGCCACGCGTGTAGGTTGCGGGCGTTCTCCGTTGCTCCTGGACCATCACTCTCGTCGCCCTCTTCGATGACGACGTTAGACGTCGACGTCTTCCTTTCTGCAGCTCCCCAGGGCGTTGCTGGAGCTTCCCGTCGCCACGGCTGGACGCGGATCGGAGAATTCTCCAGAATGGAGCCTGAAGGGGTGTGGGGGGGGGATGATTATGAGTGGAAGTTTGCCGGACGAAAACTGCAAGGAGCGAGGAGGAGAGCACCTATTCCTGCTCCTACAACTCCTCCTCCTCCGCCTCCTCCTCCTCCTCCTCCTCCTATCCACCTCGTCCTGCTCCTCCTCCTCCGCCTTCTCCTCGTCTTCCTCCCTCCTCCTGGATCACCCGCCCGCCTCGTCCTCCTCCTCCTCCTCCATCCTTTTTCTCCACCTCCCTCCCTCCCTGCTCCCTCTCCTCCGTCGTCATCCCCATCCCTCTTCCAACCCTCCTCGTCCTCCTCTTCCCTCCTCCTCCGCCCCCTCCTCATCAGCAGCAGCAGCATCACCATCTCCATCAGCATCGACATCTTCATCACCCGCACCAGCAACGGCAGCATCATGATCAGCGTCGTCATCGTCATCATCAGCAGCAGCATCATCAGCATCATCATCATCGTCATCAGCATCACCAGCAGCATCGACATCATCAGAATCATCCACACTACTATCATAATCAACAACCCCATTCATTCATCACTCTTCATTAACATAATCACCATAATAGTAGTGATGATAGTATGGACACGAATAGTAACAGTAATAGTAATCATATTCATACTCGTATTATTATAATAAGGACAGTAACAATAATGATAATAATAATAATAATCGTAGTAATGACAATAGTACTAACAGCTATACTGATACTCCTTGTAACGATATTTATAATAAGAATACGAATCGCAAGAACAATGGTAGTACGAATGGGAATAAGGATAACCTTGAGAAGAGTAATAATCGCAATAATAGTAGTCACCATCCTCATCATCATCAGCATCAGCAGCAGCATCATCATTACCACCACCACCATCACCAGCATCATCATCACCAGCATCATCACCAGCATCACTACCACCATCGTCATACCCATCATAATCATCATCATCATCAGTATCGTCAGTACCATCATCAACATCATAATAATCATCGTCATCATAACCATCATCATACACATCATCAGTGGCATCATCATCATCATCATAATCATCAGCATCAGCATCATCACCATCGTCATCATCAGAATCCCATCTTCGTCCTCCTCACTCTCCCCCCTCTCGTCCCCACCAACCCCGCCTTCCACATCCTCCGCATCCCCAATCTTCCTGTGCCTCCCACTCCTCGTCAATCCCCTCGCTCCATAGAGCCATTTTGGCCCAAGCTGCCAGAGTTCGAGGCGAACCGTGCGCGAACGCGCCCCCGCCCCACGCGTAACAGCTCCAATGGACATGTATCAGCAGGAGGAGTCCATCTACAACATCGTCCCCCCGCCGCCCCAGATCAGGGAGAAGCCCCCAAAGCACGTGTCAAAGCATGACCCGAAGCTGCCTCCTACTGCGTCCACCTTCAACACCAAAGGGTCCACAGTGGGCATGACCAGCAACATCTCAGGTGAGTCGACCGCGAAGAGCGTGCCAGACAGGGGCGGCCGGAACTTCGGCAAGCCCCCGGGCGCCTGCGTGCCAGACCCCCAGAAGCGCTTGCAGGCGAACGCGGCCAACAAGGTGCCCACGCTCTCGGAGGTGAGGAAGAACAACCCGGACCTGCTGCAACCCTCGCAGCTGAAGCCCAAGATCAGGCCCGACGTGCCGAAGAGTGGAGACGCACCCGTGATGAACTTGGTGAGCTCCAAGAACTTCATTGTCGCGAACGCGGTGGAAACCATCCTGGCCGCCCCGAAGAAGGGATCCGACGGCGCCAGGGATTATCTGAGCAAGCAGGACTTCGGCAAGACGCCAAAGTACTTGAGCAGGGTCAGGGCCGACATTGACGACGAGAAGTCCTACATCGCAAACCTGATGCAGCAGCAGCAGGAGGAGGAGGCCCAGAGGGTGCGCCCCATGTCCGAGGACGAGCGCCAGTCCCTGATCAGCGGGCTCAAAGCAAACTGGGAGACGGTCAACAAGGATTACCAGGCCATGGCCCACCTCACCAAGCTCGACACGGTGGGCAAGATCAGGAGGAAGGAGCAGATGGAGACGAAGCTCACGCAGATCGAGAAGGACATCGAGAAGCTGAGCAAGAAGAGCATCATCATTCACAGCGAGTTCTAGGCTGCGGCCGCGCCACCGTCCGCTCCGCGGCGGCGGCGGCACCCCCCGGGCGCCGTGGGGGGGGGGGGGGCGCTTCGCTGCGGGCGGGGGGAGCGCGAAGCCCCCAGCGCTGTCCCGCGGCGTTCCCTCGCTCCGCTCCGCTCCCGCTCCTCCTCGCGGAGGCTTCTCTCTCTCCGGCGCTGCATTGGGAAGTCCAGGGTTCGTTCGAGGCTGGCTTCTTCCCCCCCGAGGGACCGAAACTCTGCCGACGCTATCCGAGAAAGCTTGCCCGAACCCTCCTGGGAGGGTTTCCCAAGGGTTTCGGAAGGGCCTCAACCAATCTGAAGCGAAAACACTGACGACAACAGCAGCAGCAACAACAAGAAGAAGAAGAAGAAGAACAAAAACAGCAGCAGCAGCAGCAGCAACAACAACAACAACCACAGCAACAACCAGAACAACAACAACAACAACAACAACAACAACAACAACAACAACAACAACAACAACAACAACAACAACAACAACAACAACAAAAACAACAAAAACAACAAAAGCAGCAACAGCAACAGCAACAACAATAAGATCAACAACAACAACAGCACGATCAACAAGAACAACACCAACAACAACAATCATAGTACAGTCATGCGCGATGCTTCCACACGAAGCATGCGACCATCATGATAACCATCCCATCATGGAGGACTATTGTTCTATAGTGGGGTCCGTTACCCCCATTCCCAGATATCCCGCCCAATGAGGTCTTGCAAACACCTCCTCCGAGGAAATTAAACATATCCCGCCACGAAAACGCATGCCCGCGCCTTGCTGGGTCGATGCGAGACCGCCAGTGGAGCCCCAGCCAAGAGTAAAGCACAAGGAAGTATCGAGCGACAGGATTGCCTTGGTGGGATGGGGGCTGTCGGCGGCGAGGCAAGGACCTGGCCCTGAATAGAAAGGGAGGAAGTCTCGAGCAGGGCCCCTTTTGTTGCTGGGAACGACGCCAATGCTGAAGAGAGTAGGGCGCTAGTACAGCGTAAAACGAAACGAAGCCTCGAGCGGGAACGCTGGTTTGTTGGGACGGCGGCTGTCGGCGGCGAGGAGGAACACCGCCTTGAGTAAGAAGGGAGGATGTCTCGAGCGGGAGCCGTGGTTTTGTCGGGACGGGGGCTGTCGGCGGCGAGGAACAGCACCGTCCGGAGGAAAAAAGGAGGAAGCCTCGAGCGGAAGCGTTGTTCTTGCTGGGGGCGGCGCCAATTCAAAAGAGAGTCGGGCGCCAGTCCAGCGTAAGTCGGGAGGAAGTCTCGGGCGGGAGCGCTGGTTTTTTGGGGGGCGGCAGTTTTCGGCGGCGAGCAGGAGCACCGCCTTGAGTAAAAAAGGGAGGAGGTCTCGAGCGGGAGCGTTGTTGTTGCTGGGGGCGGCGCCGATGAGAGAAAGAGTAGCGCGCCAGTCCAAGGTAAAACGGGAGGAAGTCTCGAGCGATATCGCTGGTGTTGTTGGGACGGCGGCTTTCAGCGGCGAGCAGGAGCACCGGCCCGGAGTAAAAAAGGAAGAAGTCTCGAGCGGGAGCGTTGTTGTTGTTGAGGGGGCCGTTTTGGCGCCCCCCAAAACCGCTCGAGCGCGAGCTTCATGTTCAATGGAAATGTAGCCGGCGCCGAGGCGAGAGCGCCAAAGCGCCTGGGGGGGGTCCAACAATAATAATTGTTTAGTAGTTCACATCCAACATCAACAACCAACCAGCTAACCAACCAACCAGGCAACCAGCCAATCAAACACACAACCAAACAAACAAAACCAAACAAAACAATCAGAGGAAGCAATAAACAACGAAATGCCCCAGCGAGATGTGGAACACTCTATTCCTATGCCCCTCTCCTCCTTGCCCACTGGCCAGGCGCAGCCCGGCCGCACTGCACGGCTCGGCCGCCGCGCGTCCTTTTCGGCCGCGCCACGTGCCGCAGCCCCGGCCACCCCGCACTGCCAGGGGATGCCCGTGCTGCACATCCCGGCCTCCACGGCCGTCACGCTTCGCACGGCCTCGGAGTGTACAGATCGAGACCTCCCAGATGGGCTCCGAGCAGATGGGGTCGGAGGATCGCCCCGCATCACGGGCGCATCGGCGGCGCGGCTCCATGTGGAGCCAGAGTTTCTCCGTGCCGATGGCGCCGATGCATCGCCGACGTCGCCGATGTGTCGACGAGGCATCGGCGATGCGGCGCAATCTTCCGACCCCATCTACTCGGACTCCATGTGGAAGGCCTCTGATGGAGGAGGGCTGTGTTGCAGAAAGTGCGGGGACTCGTGTGTCGAGCATCGTGTGAATCTCTCCAATGGTCTCTCCCATGGGCAGGCAGAATTTGAGTCGGCTAAGTCGCGGACTGCCGCCTAAATATGGTATATGCAGTTCCCCAACCAATGATGTGGCAGGAGATGAGTCTGTGCATGCGCGTAGTCATCCCATCGTCAGAAAGTCCGAGATAGGTCCCCTCGTCGTCCTCCAACCCTCCTCTACCCTGTACCCCTCCTCGTCCTCCTCCCTCGTCCTTCTCGCCCGTCTTCATCCGCTTCCTGCTCGTCTTTCCAACCTCCCCCATCCGCCTTCGGTCTCCTCATCATCATCCTCATCCTCCTCCCTCCACTTTCTCGTCAACCCTCGTCATCCTCATCTCTCATCGCCATCTCTCTTTCTCAACCGCCAGCGTCCGCCTCGGTCCGCTTCCCCTTTCGTTATTCATCCTCGTCATCGTCCCCTTTCTCCCTCTCCCACCTCTGGAGTTCGTGCTGTGAGCTCGCTGATGGCCTGCACTGCTCCAGGCTCGGGTTCGCACGAGCCCACTTAGAGCACCACCCAGCTTGCCACCTGCTGTGTAAGGAGGCCTGGCCAGGGGCTCCACGAGATGATGCTCTGCTCTGCCCCTCCCTCCTCCTCCTCCTCCTCGTCTCTCCTCCTACACCGATCCGCCCTCCACATGCTCCTCCTCCTCCCTCCGTTTCCGCCTCCTTATCCTCCTCATCCTCATCTTCCTCTTCCTCCTCGTCCTCGGGGAAGGAACAGCAAGAGGAGGACGTGGAAGAGGGCGAGAGGAGGAGCAGGACCAGACGGAATACGGCAAGAGAGGGGCAAGAAGAGAAGGATTGGGAGGGGAATTGAGAGGGGGAGAGGGAGGAGTAAAAGGAGGAAGAGTAAACAGGCCTCCTCTTGCTCAGCCGCCATGTGAGTTCAAGTCTTTCTGAAGGCAGCATCCTCAGAGAAACTATTGCTAAGCAGTTACTTCAATTCGTGCTGGAAAGTATGGCAGTCCGTAGTATCGCTCCCCTCGTCGTTGCCAGTTGTGTCGCAGCGGAGCGAATGGCGGGAAAACTTAATATCGAGCTGGATGCTCGGGGCCGCGGCATTAACACCCATGACATCGTGGGTCGTCTTGGGGCTGATTTGGCCGTCGTGGAGCCATGTTGGGGCTGTTGTGCGGTACCCTGAAGAGGCTTATAGGTCTGTCTGAGCCATTGTAAAACTACGGGATGGAGGAAGGGGCCACTGAATTCGCTTCCGTTTATTTTTGTGTTGACTACGTGTTCTGCCAGGAATGCCAAAAACGCAAGGGCTTTACACCCCGAGTGGAGGCAACTTTGGGTAAGTGTTTTCTGGGGGGCCTAACTACTGCTGCGCAGGAAGCAGAGAAGCGGAAAAAGCGAGGACCCGACACAACAACCACGCAAGCGTTGTAGCGAATATGTTGGATATAGCATTCACATGGTCAGGAAGTTCTTAAGATGGTTATGGTGCACTTCTGCTTCAATCCTTGGACATCGCAAGTGAAGCTCAGCATGTTCGTCCAAAATGGAGACTGGCTGACAACAAACTGCACCATTTCGTGGGTGGCTGGTTGGAGATTGCGAGGGGTGAGAGCGGGTATCTGAGCGGAGGTATATGGAAGCCATTGGAGGCCCAAAAACGTCAAACACATCCACAAACCTCGAGCCACGAACCCCGGTCCTCGACATACCAGAGGCCGCCTGGACATCCGTTGGATCTTTTTTTTCGGGACATGGGCCCCCGAACCTCTCGACTCCTTCCCCGGGGCCAGCTTCGTATCCCACGTCGCTTTTTGATGGTCCAGGGGCCCAACCAAGTCTAGCCTCCAGAAGCAGAAAATGACAAGTCAACTGCCGTCTCGAGTTCCCCGAGCCGCCTGAAGAAGGGGCTCTGGGGTCAAAACAGCAACCTCCGGACGCCGGACCTTTCCCAGGGTCCGTTCCGGCCAGCATTTCAATGCGGACGCAGCCGTGGCTATGAGAAGCCCCGCAGGGGCCTAAAAACATCCGCGACCTTGATCTTGAAACTCAAGGCGGTTTCCCCTCTGGACCCCTTTCGCTGGCGGTGAGGGGACGGAGGTCTACTCCGTCACCTTCTGAGCCCGCTTGGCGTCTGAGCTTGCTGGGCTGCTGAATGGGCCTGGGATTGAGCCACTGCGGTTGCCTGATGGGCCAGCCTGTTGCCACGCTGAGCTCATTCGGCTGCCCACTCGGCGGCCGAACGGGCTCAGACGCCGAACGGGCTCCAGCGACGGAGCGGAAGAGGAGGCCGGCCAGGCCGCCAGTGCCCCGCTGTTCCTCGCCCTCACGCCCTCGGGCGCCTCCGCGGCCTCGCTGCTGGAGAGCTACGGGATCCCCAAGCCGCCGTGGGCCACGTGGCCGGTTTGGCTGCAGGTGCCCACCGCGTCGCGCTCGGGCTGGCGACGCGCAAGAGCGACCCTTCGCCAGAGTGGCCTTTGGTTGCGGGCCCACAGGCGTCCCCCCAGCATGGGCCTGCGCGCGTGGATGTTCCCCCCCGCGGCCCCCCTGAAGCCGCACGCCAAGGGTCACTCTTGCCCAGGGTCGCTCTCTTGCGTGTGGTCGACTGGAGGAAGAGGATGGGGGGGAGGAGAAGGAGGAGGAGGAGGAGGACTCTCAGTTATGCATTTTTAGCCGCTGCGACTGGGCACACCCTGCAAAGTCACAAGTCTGGGATCCCTTGGCATCAACACGTCAGCGGTCTTGGGCCATCCTGGCGGCTCCCTCGCAGAGCCGTGCGCAGGCTTCCGCTCCGTTCTACGTCGGCCCCTGGAGGCGGACCGCTGGAGCCGTGGCCTCGGGGCACGGCCGCGGCGCTGGCCCCGTGGACGCAGCGACCCGGAGCATGGCCGAGCTGGGGGCCGAAGTCGAGTGCTGGACTGGGGTGGCCACCGCGCCTGGAGGCTGGCGCCCGGCAGACCGCGCCTTGCCCGACACGCGCGCGGTGCTCCTTCGGGCCCGGGCAGCCCGCGAGGCCCACGAGGTGGCCCGGCGGCGTGCCGGCTTTCGGCACCTGCACGCTGGGGTCGACAGGTGGGCTGTCCGGGCGGCTCCTCGAGATCGGGGAGCTGGCGGCCGACGCCGCGGGGGCCCTTCGCGCCGTGCTTGCCACAAACGTGGTCACGGAGGCGTTGGCGGCAAAGGGGGGGGCGCCTTGCGGTTTGCCCACATTGCGGCGCAGGGTGCGACGACTTCGAGCACCGCTTCTGGGCGTGCCACCGCTGGGAACCCGCGCGAGCCGCTGCGCTGATGCCTGAGGGCCTCGCGCGCGCCGCGGCCCGCGCGCGACTGCCAGCCCAGACGGCGCTCACGGGGGTGTTGCCCCAGCACCCGCAGCTGGCTGCACTGGCAGACCAGGCGCATTGGCCGTTGCCGCGCCCAGGCCTGCCCGCCCCTCCCCGGGCGCGCGCTTGGACGGATGGCGGCTGCTTGCGCCCCACTGGCCCCCTCCTCGCCAGGGCAGGGTGTGGGGTGGTACTGGACCAGGGCGCTGGCCGCCAGGAGCACAGCGGGCCCGTTGATGGCGCACAGACCGCGCAGCGCGCCGAGTTCACGGCAGTGGTGCATGCCGTCAGCTTGGCAGCTGGGGCCGTCGAGACAGTGACCGATTCCCGCTTCGTCAGCACTGGCGTCGCTGCGATCAGGGCCGGGGCGACCCCCGAGGATTGGGCCCACGGGGACATGTGGGAGCTAATCGTCCCTCACTGCCGCCGCAGCGGCGCGCTGGCCGCACGACGATGGATCAAGGGGCACCTCGACGCCGCGGAGGCTCAGGAGCGCGGCGCGTCACCCGAGGACCGCTCCGGCGACACCGCGGCCGACCTCCTCGTGGGGACAGCGGCCGAGGTTCGGTTGCCCCCGCTCGCGCTGCGACAGGAGCGCGAACGGCAGCTGGAGGCCCTCGTGGCCGTGCAGCGCGTGCTCGCCATGGTGGAGCTCGAGGCCCTCAGGGCAAACCACGGGCATGGCCCGGGAGGACCGCGCGCGCGGCGGCGTTGGACAGGCAGGGCATCGCCGCGCCGCGCGCCCAGCGTTGCTGACGACGCTGCGGTGGCGGCAACGGCGGCCCCGCAGACGGAGCAGCGGCCGGCGCGCGCCGCGCCAGGTCCAGGGGCGGCCGCCGCGGCGAGGGCCTCGTTCGCCGGCGACGCGCAGCAGGGGCACGACGCCTCCCAAGGCCCCGCCTGGGTGCCTTGCATGGCCTGCGGGTGCTGGGCCCCGCGGTGGGAGCGCCTTGCGTGCCGCCACTGCGGCGGGCGGGCGCCGCACCTGCCCCCGCGGGCGGCCGGCCTGCTGGTCTTGGGCGCCCCGCGCGCCAGGGGCCGCCAGGCGGCGGGGCGGCCAGCCGTGCGGCGGCGCCTGTTGGAGCGCTCGCCGACTAATTAGTGTGAATTAGTCACGCGGCGGCTGCCCTAGGCAGCCGCTGTCCCGCGCGCCAGCTGGGCGCGTGGTTTCGTTTTCCATGGTCCTCCTCCTCCTCCTCTTCCTCCTCCTCCTTCTCCTTCTCCTGGCCCCATCATCCTCTTCTGGCTCCTCCGCACTCTGTTTGTCACCCGCCCTCGCCGCTGGGCACCCTCTGGATGGTTAAAATAATGCGTCGGCCTCTGGAGGTTGCCATTCGACCCCGGTAAAATTCAAAAATGCTCAGAATGAAAAGCAGGCCCCTTGGGAAGGGGTCGTACCACGCCACGAAGAAATTGTGACGCCGGAGGAGTCTGCGGCCATTTGCGAACCCTACCCTACGGATCCGCTCGACGCTGGGGTATCGGACACACCCACTGGGGTTCACCTGGCTGCAGACATCCTTCGAGTTCTGAGCCCCGGCCAGTTCTTCAGAAATCTGACTTGCAGGGGTAGAGTTCAGATGAGGTTGCCTAAGGAGGGGGAAGGGGAGTAAGATGAGGTGGAGGAGGAGGAGGAGGAGGAACATGGAACATGGAACATGGACCATGGACTGGCCTGGGCCCTACAACCCTCGTCCAGAAAAAAGGACGGTGAAACACAGGATGCACTAGCCATGGGTAGCAAACCTCCCGAGCCGCTCGAGCCAGCGGGAACACGTACGGCATAGCATCAGCTCAATGATAGTAGCAAACCGTTGAGCATGAGCGCAGGAGGAGGAGGAGGAATAGGAGGAGAAGGAGAAGAAGGAGGAGGGTAACAGGAGGAGGAGGAGGAGGAAGGGAAGGGAAGGGAAGAGGAGGAGGAGAAGGAGGAGGCATAGGCGAAGGAAAAACGGGGATGAGTCGGACGACCCAGGCGTTTCCTTCTCAGCACGTTCGGCGTCTGAGCCTCAGGCGAGTTGCGGTCTGCGCCAATGTGTCGGCCGTCCGCAGCGCGCGCAGTGCTGGCCAGTCATGAGCTTGGCGCCCACACGAGTCATGCACATGAACCCAACTCGTGATCCAGGCAGTTCTCCAACCAACACTTTCAACTGGCAACTCATGACAATGGCGCAAGGCACCACGCCCACGAGTGGACAGGCAAAACCACCTTCAGACGATTGCCCCCGCCGCCTCCCTGGCCTTTCCCACTGAAGAAGCCACGCGAGCCAAGGAGCGCAAGGAGCAAGGTCACGCGTCCATCAAGCGCCACAGGATCGTCTAGGACACATTCGACGACATCGGCGATGATCTGTCAGGATTGGGAACAGCCGAAGAAGTGGCAAAGCTGGCACAGGACGCGCATCTCGCACAGGTCAGTGCGCCCTTGGAAGATGGATCTCTGTGAGCTGTGCGGAGGCGAAGCCCACACAGATCGCCATACCCCGCCAACTCGCGACAGGCGAGAACTTTGATCTGGCGATCGGGTGCGACCTGGGCGACCCACGAGAACAGGAACGTGTCCGCCAGTAGGTCAGGTCCAACCACGCTGTGGCAGTGGTTATGGCACCATCATGCCGCAGCACTGGACCTCCACGTGGTCCCAACTACCGTATCAATGACGAGACTTGGAGGGCGCAATACGAGGAGGACTCGCCCCACATCAGGTTATGCCGCCCGGTGGCGGTTACCCAGATAGGTGAAAACATATACTTCTTTGTCGAACAGCAAAGCCCTACTTTGCTCAGTACTGCACCGCCCTGGGATCAAATATGGCAACACGCGCAGGTAGACGCGGTGGCGCTCGACCAGTGTCAGTTGGGGGCCAAGGGCCCACGAGGCCCCCCTATCCAAGAAGCCCTCTCTGGCCATCGCCAGCAAACCACATCTACCCACACCTCTCCGCAAGATAGGGTGCACCGGCAACCGCGACCACGATGTCATCTGGGGCCAAGACATTACAGGTCTGGCCTGGGCGCTTAACAGAGACTCTCTTGGCTGAGCTCTACCCAGCTACAAGTTCACGAGGCATCCTCGATGCTCTCCAAGACTTCGAACCCGCAGAAGCGCCAACACCCCGCGTTGGAGCCCCAGCTGCCAAGCAGGCGAAACGATGCCCAGAATGCCCAGGCTGCCGCGGCAACCGCAACAGCCTGAACCCGCGATACATCAAGGTACTTGGAAAAGACGCAGTCCCACCACGCATCGAGCAACCGCGTGTTTGCCGCGGGTTCGACGAATCCGTCAGATTAGCACACGAGCGCCGCACTGGCCAATGCGGGTTTTTTCCCCCGCGAGGCTCGAGCGCAGCAAACTCGCGACCACGCGGCAGGTATCCCTGGATCCCAGGCGAGTCCCGACACCGATGGGGCCCCACCAGATCGGGGCCCCATAGACGACCCAGCACCAGCAGCACCGATACGTGACGATCTCTTTGACGACGAGCCGCCACCACCACCATACCCCGCAGCCCCGAGGCCTTCCAGAGCACCTCGACCACAACCACGAGTCGTGGAAGCTGCCACTGGACACGCACCACAAGACTGGACGAGCGTCGACGCCACTCAGAGCTTACGCATGCTACGCACAGTCGATGCATCACAGATACGACGAGAGATAAGCAAGCTACAGATTCGCTTATGGCACGGCACACAGACACAAATTGAGAAAATATTGACCGCAGCCCGTCGCCCGCACTCAGCTACCCAAGTTATCGCAGGCGTGATCGACACTTGCCGTGAGCGCCGGGCGCGGGCCTCCAACGCGTCACAGGCTGCACCATCGGTTGAGCTGGCCGCGGCTCCCGACAAAGACGTGGAGGGAGATTCTTCTTCTACCACCGCACCCCATCTGGCACATGGTCGACAGAGCCGACAGGTGACACGCAGCACTGTGGCTCGAGGGAGATGCATCGATATTTCTACCGCCAGTGCTCAGCTATCCTCTCACGTCGAGTGCCTATCTTCGGACCCAGCAAAGCTTTGGTCGTAGGCGGTGAACGAGGGACTCTCGGAGCTGAATCTAAGCCGTTATTCGATCGACAGGGCGCTGCGTTCCGAGTACGAGCCCCAGACTGGCACGCACGAATAATCGAGCGTCGCGGCGATAACCTCCGACACGCCATGCGCTACATCGATGAACAGCCACGGCACGAAGGTTTACGAGGCACCATGCCAGACCACTTGTCCGGGGCAGCCTTTGCTGGCAGCTCCGACCATCGCGCGCTCTCGAGGCTCGCGCTCTGCATCGACGGGCGCGCGGGCCCACAGCCGCGCGCGGCGCTCGGCCACGAAGTGCGCACCGCGAGTGGGCAGCGCAACATGGAGCCAGACGCGCGCCCCGTGACCGAGGGGGCGACCGCGTCGCCGTCGCTCGCGGCCTTTGCCCAGCGCTCGGCGGTGCACTGCATCTGCTCGCTGACCTGCGAGCGCCGCCCTGCGCGCCGCCGGCACCGGAGGCGCGTGGCCGGGTCTGCCCGGCCCGGCGTGGGCGCGGACCCCCCCCTTGCTGGCCTCGGACAGGCAGGCCCAGGGGCACCCACCTCGCCCTCGGCCGCCCGAGCCGCAGAGCAGGCCGCCCCGGCCAGCGGGCCCAGAGCCAGGGGCCAGGCCTCCACAGCCGCCTGGCCCGCCACCCGGGATCGCTGCGCCCGCGAGCTGGAGCCGCCGCCCAGCGCCTGGCGCGCCCGGGGACCCCCGGCGCCCGTCGGCAGCCTGGGCCAGGCGCAGCACCAGTGGTCCAGGCACGGCAGGACTGGCGACAGGGGGAAGAAGGACAGGGACAAGAGCAGTCAGGCGGAGGCCCCCGCGGCCGACCTCGAGAGGGCCGCCGAGAAGACCCGTCGCGGTGGTCTCGGGAGCAAGAGGATGCGGGGCCAGAGGCGCGCTGCCTCGCACCAGCAGAAGGACGCGGCAGCCGACGACGACGAGGAGGAACAGGTCCCGACCACCCCAGACGCGGACGCCGAGGAGCCCGCATCGGACGACACCGCAGAGGCCGCGAAGAAGCCCATCTGCGAGGACGAGCCTCGCAGCAGCGATGGGGGGGACAGAGGTGGAGCGGCGAGGCGTTGAACAGGACATCACCTTCCGCGCGCCGTCAAGGGAAGTTCCCACCTTCCCCGCTCCACTCTGCCAGTCCAAGGCCCCGGGACATCCTCGTCTCTCTGCCTTCACTGGTCGCGTGTCACACTTCGTCGAGCTTCGCTCAGATTTTCGGTCGCTTCGACCGCGGCGCATGGCCCTCACGTCTACACAGTCACGGCATTTGGCTGGCCACCTCACATCATTCACGTGAGTTGCTCGGTAGCGTTCCTAAGAACATCAGCGCGCTCTGAAGACAGTCAGTGAGCACGCACTCCGCCAGCCCAACGCGCGCCCCCCCCCCGCAGGTTGCCGGCGGGCATCCTGCGCGGATTTGGGAAGCGCGTGGCGTGTAGACAGTTATGGCATGCCTTCTTTCTGGGCTCCTTTGCTCCGCAAGATTTGCTCGACCGCCCGCACAATCCCAATTCAAATAGGATGCCCCGCTGCTATATGGGTTCAAGCACTGGAGCGCATGCATCTTTATTCAGGCAAGGGAAGGTCAGTTTATCACCGCCATGCTTTCTTTTTCGCCACCAACCCCCACAATTATAGTTCCTCCTCCTCCTCTTACTCCTCTTCCTTCCCGCCATAATCACCATCATCAGCATCATCAGCAGCATCATCATCGCTGGCATCGTCGCAGTATTGTCAGGTTCTTCTTGATTGTCCCGAGCGGTTTCATCATGTGTCCTTTCGTCCGTCTCCACCATCCACTCTGTACCTTCGTTCTTCCCCGTTTCTTCCGCCACCCTCCTCCTGCTCGTGCCCTTCTTCCTCCTCACCTTCTTATTTCCCTCCTTGTTCCGCCTTTTTTCCCTCGGCCTTCTCTGCCTCCATCCTGCTGTCTCCTGCCCGTGTTCCTCCTTCTGCACCTCCTCCTCCTCTTCCTCATTCTCCTCCTCCTCCTCCTCTTCCTCCTTCTCTTCCTCCTCCTCCTCCTCCTCCTACTCCTCCTCTTTCTCATCCTCCTCCTCCTCACCCTCCTCCTCCTCCTCCTCCTCATCCTCTCTCCTCTCCTCCTCCTCCTCCTCCTCCTCCTCCGTATCCCGTTTCTTCGTGTTAGTGGTCATATTCGTGTCCCCCCCCCCGTTTTTTGTCATTCCCCCCCCCCCCTCCTCGTCTTCACGTTCGCTCATCCTCCCTCGTCCCCCCTGCTCTTTGCTACATCCTTTGTTCCACTCTGCATTCATCGTTCCTCACATTTTCTCCTTCCTCCACTTCTTCTCGAGACACCATCTTCACCACCGTCAGAAGCATCGCCACCCTTTCATCCCCCCCCCCATCACGTACCCTCCTCTTGGTGGATTCCTTCCGAGCCGCGTATCTTCCACATCATGCTCCTCTCCATACATATCGTCCTCCTAGTCCTCGTCCTGTTCCCCATCCTGATCCGCAGCCTCCTGCTCGTCCTCCTCCCTCCTCACTCTCAGCATCATCATCATCATCATCATCATCATCATCATCATCATCATCATCATCAGCAGCAGCAGCAGCAGCAGCATCATCAGCATCAGCATCAGCATCAGCATCAGCATCCGCAGCATCATCAGCGTCATCAGCTCATCATCCTCATCATCATCAGCAACAGCAGCATCATCAGCATTGCCAGCACCATCAGATCAGTATCATCGTCAGCATCATCATCAGCATCAGCATCATTGTGGTGAGCATCATCTACATCCTCGTCCTCATTCTCATCATCATCACCATCATCAGCATCAGCAACAACATCATCGTCACCAGTATCACCATCATTCATTACCATAATTACCATCATTAGCAGTCATCGTCACCATCATCAGCATCATCGTCATCAGCATAATCATCATCAACATCACAGTAATCATCGTCATCGTCATCATCATCAGCAGCATCGTCATCCTCATCGTCATCACCATTATCACCACCATCATCACCATCATCATCAGCACCACCATCATCATCAGCAGCATCATCATCTTCATCATCATCAGCATCATAGACTAACCCATCAGTACCATCATCATCATCATCCTCAGCAGCATCATCATTAGCAGCATCATCATCGTCGTCATCATCATCAGAGTCAGCATCATCATCACCATCATCATCAGAATCAGCATCATCATCATCAGCATCATCATCATGATCATCATTCGCATCCTGCTCACCCCCATCCTCAACACCACGATCGCCTCCCATTATCCTGCCCCTCCTGTTCACATGCAGCATCGCACTCCCTGATGTCATCCTCCTGGTCGTCATCATGTACTTCCTAGTGTTGTCATCACCGTATTGCTCCTCCCCAGATTGCCTTCCCGTTATTCGTTGTGGTCGTGCTGGCCGGGGTTTTGCCGTTGGCCTTCGGCAGGGGAGCGTTCGGCAAGCCCATCGGCGAG